AAAGTATTGCGAGTATAACTGGCAGCTAATTGGAGATTTCAAAATGGTGGGATTTTTTATGGGACTTCAAAGCGGATATACAAAGTATCCGTGTTATTTGTGCTTATGGGATAGTAGATAGATAGTAGCTAAGCATTATACTCAACGGTCTTGGCCTGAAAGAACAGAACTTTGTATCGGAAAAGAAAACGCAAAATTTGAGCCAATTGTTGAAGCAGAAAAAGTGCTAATGCCGCCTCTGCACATTAAGTTAGGGTTGATGAAACAATTTGTCAAAAAACTGGATCAAACCACAGAAGCTTTTGAAGACTTAAAAAAGTTTTTCCCGAAGTTATCCGAAGAAAAGGTTACAGCCTGGGTTTTTGTTCGTCCGCAAATCAGACAAATTTTCGCCGATCAGAAATTTTCAACTTTGCTGGATCGTATTCAAAAAGCGAGTTGGAACAGTTTCAAAGCAGTCGTTTCTGGATTCTTAGGAAATAACAAAGCCGAAAACTACGAAAACCTAGTTGAAAATATGCTATTTTGAGGCCATGGGATTTAGATAAATTGAAAAACAACATGAGAGCATATTCAGAATTATCAAGGAGAATGCAATGAAAATATGATGGGAGACTATATTTGGGGTTTATTAAGAGATAGTACCTATGATCATTAAAAAAAGTAAAAGTGTGCACTCTTAAGTTACTTTTTACTTTTTTCATTCTCAATTAAAAATTAAAACCACATATTAAAAAAAATATCTTTAAAACGGTGTCCTACCGCACCTTTTTGTACGACATGGGCCTGTATGACGTCAAGGGAATCGCGGCCGTGCGAAAATGTGCGATTGCTATTTTTTTGTTTACTTTGTGTTTATTAGTTTTATTTTGTTTTTTTTTTTTTTTGTTTTACCTTTTTTATTTTAATTCTTTAGATTGATTTGTAAGAATTAGTCAAAAATAGCGAAGCGAGAGGTTACAGAAATTCAGAAATTGAAATCTTGGACACTTTGGAAGCCAGTTATGATTTTTGATTGATTATTGCCCATAATGTCCCATCACACCCTAATTATGTATTGATTGTTTTCCAAAATATACCCACCTTAAAACTAACATACGTACTATGTATGTATAACTGAATGCTAATTTGAATAATCAAATCAGAGATTTAATAATAAAACAAACAAAATTTATCATATCTCTACGAAAATTGGACCAAATTGTTTATGCAAATATCGGCCTACGCTGGAAACATGACAACTTTGAAGTAATGTCACACGAATGCGTACGACAAGGTAAGGTATTTTTGTCCGCTTAGGGGGGGTCCGCTTTTAGGAGTGGGCGAATAAAAATTTTACTAAAATTTATACACACACTACTTTTTAAATAAATTAGATTTCTTGGTAATTTAATTTATATATTTCATTTTTGTTGCGAGATGTTTCATAGTTATAATAAATTGAACAATTTATTTATGTTTGGACTTTTAAAAATTCCTTTACCGTAGTTTGTCGCAACTTTCCTTGTTTCTGTTCTATAAAACAGTTTTCAAGATGACTTTCCAAAGTTTTGGCGTACTGAAATCCAGTAACGTCGCACTAACGAATTTTTTAATGCGACGAAGTTGTTTTAGTGCTTTAGTGTATGATTTAATTTGACCCGCATCCTGAGCGCATACTTTTTTTAGGTCTTCAGTTTCTCTGTCAGATAATTCGTCAGTAAGTCTCGTCAATAACAATGTCAATATTATCATTTTCTGTAATAACAATTTCGTCGATTAACAAAAAGTCATCGGAATGCTGTCCGTGCCCATTTTCATTTAAAAGCTTTATCAAAGCTCCACATATGCATTATGTCGTTTCCGCCATTTTTCCAACCATCCATTTGATGCCGAAAAAGTTTGAACTCCTAATTGGCCCGCAATTTGTTTGGTTTTTCATTAATAATAGGGCCCGACACTGGTATATTTTGATTTCTGGCTTTGACAAACCACTCAAAACAAAAATTGTCTAGTTTCTTTTTATTTATGTTATCACCACTCAACCATATCATTTTAATGTCTTCCTTTTTTTCACAATAGTGGCAGCCTGCGATTTTCCAATATAAAATCTTTAAAATCAAACAAATAAAAGTAAAAACAAATTGTACTATTATAAAGCACTAACCTTTTTCCGAGTGCACGAACAGATAAATTTTCTTTCTCCAACACAAAGACAAATCAAATGAATCATAATTTTTATTTTTTTTTCATCTTAATAGCTACAAATTGTTACATATAGATCCCGTTACATCTTAACATGTTAGTGCTTGTCCTCACAGTTTAACATATAGTGTGTGTACGAGTATGTACTCATATTACTCGTATGTACATTTCGGCTGTTCGGTTAGTTACTCTACATTGGTTACTCAGACTTCCGCGTCCGCTTTCGAGAGGTAATGAAAATAAGAAGTAGTAATAAAGTGTCCGCGTCTGGTCACGAGAGGGTCCAATTGTTAGAGTGGAATTTGTTCTGAAAACACAAAGTAAAGCTTGGTTCGTGATATTTTGATTGTCCAGTTAAGAGAGGGGTCCGCTTATTAGAGGTTTCACTGTACTTGTAGAATGCGAAACATCCACTGTCTTACACTTTCGTGTGACATGGCACTCAATGTGTTATGCATTATAAAGTTCGAAATTGTTGTGTCAGGTATATGGAAACTAAGGGAAGTATTGACACGATTCAACTCATTTTTGACCCACAGACATACCATTGTCAGGGAAATATTATCCGAAATTGTCGGTGAAAAGTCAAATACTGGGGTCTAAATATTCGGCGCCTAGGGATTTTAACAATTATTAATGGATTTAGCCAATTTTTGGTCATAAGGTGGAATACTCTAAAGCGATTATTCATGCAAAGTTTTAACTCGTTATATTAATTTCTTCTTGTATACCGAAAGGTGAATCAAATTAAGTTTAAAATTGTGTTATATGGGAATTAGGGATGCAATCCGATTGCACCCATTTTCCCACTGTGAAATAAGAATATAAAAAATATTATGCCCCAAATTTGTTTAAAAACGATTTAGCGGGTTCTGAGATACGTGATTTTGCTTAAAAAAAATTTATAAATATAGGAAACTTTTCGAATTATTATTTTTTCTAAACGACCAATAAGTCGAGAATATTGTGTACAAATTTTGAGTCAATTATAGTCAAACTAACAGAGTTACAGCGTTTTAAACGACCGTCAGCGATATCTGACTTTGATGTATAAAAAACGTCAAATCGATTTTCCCGAAAACGTTATTTTTGAAGTTCGTGACCATTAGAACTCAAATTCTACTGAACTGATCCTTTTGAAAATTTGAACATTACTTCTTCACATAAATCAAGAACTAATGAAAAGGTTTTTTATTAACGCATTAACCCCGATTTTTTGAGCTAATATCTCGCTTTTTACTTCCAAGTGCTGCAAAAATAGAAAAAAAAGCATTTTTTTGTTTTTACTTGAGAAATACATCACCTTTAATAGATGATCCGTTAACGAGTTATATTGCTTCTGGAAATTCACCATCACAGGCTTATTTAATAATATTCTTCATTGAAAAGTTTTTCCAAAATACTTCAAAAGTTCTACAATAATATGTCATTAAATTTAATAAAATTATATTACTCATTTCGCCGTAATAAAAACACAAATATATCCTTTTCTTGCCTTTATCACAAATGAAATAAAATTTTGAAATAACCGAATCTCTAAACTTTCACGTAATAATTCGGTTGTTGCACCTGGCCCGGCTTGTTGGATCCAGATGTTGTCAAGGCCAACTTCTTCCAATTGTGGACATAAAAGATTGGTTATCATCGATCTATATCGTTCTCTATTGAAAATAACGGTGTCATCAGTTTCATTTGAAAGAAGTTCGGATCGAGGATTCCACTATACCTGAATGGCAGCAATATTTTTATTACTTCGAGCAGTTCTTTGCTATATTCTCACTTTGGTGAAGAAAATGTATGCTCGGTGTTTAAATGAGTTAAACATCCACCTACTCTACGCGGAAAACCCGGCGCACCCTAATAAGACGGCTTAGTTTACCACAGCTGACGACATTACAACACAACACCACACCTGTACGCCAATCCAACCAACAAAAAGCATGGACAATGGGAAAGCGGACACAATTCAACATTCGTTTCTGTTATACTTTGCGCTGCGTCGACACATATTTCAATTGGACTTTTGCTAGACTTCGTCTCAACCCGGTTCCTGTGAGCAGCTTTCGTTCATTATATAATTATAATACCACAACTGGGATTATTTAAAAAATCACAATTCTTTCTATTTAGATATATGTTTTTAAAATTCCAACAATTAAAAAGAAAATTAAAATTAAATAAATTATACACGAAATCGCTCGCGCATATTCATTTGTATGCTTAATCGCGAGTGTAAGTGAATTGTGCTCTTTCAACAATTCGACGTACAGCGAGCGCAGGTGGACTATTATTCTAACGATAAAATGGAAAAAGCACATGAAAAGTGTCAATTGGAGAACCATTATTTTAATAATAAAATTGAATAATTTGTAAACGTTGTTCCTGCGTTTCTCCAATAATTCAACAAATATCGTTCCGCAACCACTGTATTCGCCTGATTTGACTCAATTGAGGATATAAATGCTGAATCAAAGAAGGCTCTGATGGCCATCACGATGGAGGATTTAAACTAGTGCTATGATGGCCATAAAATTCGTTGGCATAAGTGAATTGCAGCGGGAAAGGATTACTTTGAAGGAGATGAAATGGATTTGCAAGAATAAATAAAGATTGTAAAAATAGAACAAAATTCACCTTTTAATTTGAGAGAATACTACTATAAATGATTTAATTGATATGATGATTTAAATTGATATCATTAGCAATCATTTTTCGTAAAAGACGTTAATCATTTAGTTTAAAATTGATACTATTTTGATACACTAAACCGAAGTTATTCCCTGATAAAACTGATCATATGAATTAAGACTAATTACCTATATGTTTGCAAGTATGGGCTGGGGTCGCTTACACCATATTTATTCTCAACTCGAACTCGTAGTCGGTAGTCGCGGAATGGTTCTAGTCCGTCAATTACGCAAGAGCAATTCCTAATTCCTGTGTGAACTGTGCGCCAGTCTCCGTTTGGTAAATCCATCATTTCCACCTAAATAAGCATTTGGATCAATATCAATATGATAATTAAATTTAATGCAATTATAATATTTTAATCAAAAAATGCTACGTCTTCAACGAGGTACAATGATATCCATATGTAAGTACACAAATTATGTATAATGAATATAGAAATATACATGAAATAGTACAGTAGTTTAATCAAATATAAATTAATGAAATATGGCCTAAATAGTTTAAATGTGTATTTTTTCATTATTAATAATTTATATTTCATTTTATTAATGAATAACATAATATTTTAATGAAAGCAATGTAACCGAACTATTTACACTATGTTATAGTTATTTGTATACCCTTCCTACGAAGAGGCTATATAATAGGAACGAACCCGGATTTTTATCTAGTCAAGGAATGTAAATTCCTCTAATTACTTCAGGGTATTTTCCTAACGCTACAATAACAACTCTGGCAATTATAATGCTCAATGTGGGGGGAAATTTCAGATGTCTGTAAAACTATATATTAAACAAGTAAAGGAGGGATACGTTCGAGTGTTACCGATCATTTTATATTCTCGAAATGTGCAAGGGTGAAACCTACCTACATTTAATTTTGCTAGGACATTAATATAATATATATTGACTGATATATACAGTATAAAGTCCAGAGCCAACTTGAAATCCTTGTATTAATAGGTATATTGCGGTATTGCATTGTCACGATTTGATACATTTTTGACTCAGGGACACATTATCATTAAGAAAAGATGTTCACTGAATTTCAATAATCACAGATTGATTATATTTGGTAAAAGGTAAGTCGTCTACACATTTAGTGTCTTGAGGATTGGACACTTGTGATCCATTGTCACCAGTTTCTAAGAGTAAAGTTGCATTATAGGCTCTAATAACTCTAGGCTCTCCGATAACTTCTCTAGAGCTTAATCCATATACTGTATAGCGAAAGAACTATGTGGAATTAAAAATTGTGATATCTTAAAATTATCTTATAGTCTGATTTAGCATGATAATAATATGCACCAAATTTGGTTAGGCAGCGGTACACCCATTGTCCAATTTTACAGTGATTTCTTTAAAGCCTTTCCATTAGTTTATAAAATTATCGAAAAACGGGGTAATCGGGTGATATTTCGAGGTTTTAATTTTTTTTGGATTTTTTTTAAATTTTCATGCCTCTTTTCCTCTTACGATTCTTTATACCGAATTGAGTCTGAGGCCTCACCAAGGGTGCCGCCTGTTAATAGATACCAAAATATCCCAACGAGGACACGAACGGCTCGGTATCGGTAGCACAGCATTCAGGAGGGGGGCCTGACTACGGTTGGGGGTAAGGTAAGACTGGGGTCAATAAAATAGCACAGTATCAAACGTAGATTAGGAAACTAGTTCCGAAAAGAAGGCAGCATTTATCACGAAATGGAGAACAACCAGCAAAAGCACAGGAGCGAAGCTTGGTCTAGGTATACTATGTTGGAACTAACTAAGGAGTTGAGTAGATAGTAGTGCGTCTGCCGGGGAATGTCCTTATTTTAATGTCAATGATCTAGATAAGGCAAGGTATGCGGAGAAATGACGTGCTGAGAAGTTGCAACTGCAAGCGCCAACCAATGAAATGCTTACAAAGGAGCTCGAAGAATGATTATGCAAAATTAATCTAGCCTAATTTCAAACTTAAATCGCCAGTAGTGGTAGCGAAACGAAGGGGCTAAGTTGTCAGCCAAAAGACCAAAGATCATACTGCATCTATAAAGGAATCCAAAGAACCTTCGGCGAAGAGTAGCGGCGATAGAAACTATGGATTCACAAAGGGAAAGATCTTGAATTCAAGTCAATCGCCGATGTTGCAATCTTAACACCAGAAATTGAGATGGGGGGACGTCGAGGAAGATCCCTTGAGTGATGTAGATACCATTAAGAAAGATTATATAATGAGAAAAAGCTTCTGAGCAATGCAAGAAGATGTAGATGTGTGTTACTAAGCTCCCTTTTCTGATCTGAGGTGTTCCTCTAAAACTTATTTCTTAAAACCACCCGTGAAAAAGTGGAATTTCCTAGGGCAGTGTAATTGTGCCTCCAGCTGTCTCCGAGCGGGTTAGCTCGTCTGCCTTTTAATTTCTTTTATTCTTTTATGACTAGGTATCCTGATGATGTTAACAGAGTTACCTACTGACCTTGGGGAGACCCACTAGAAGAAATTAATACAACACAGCAACAACAAAAAACGGAACGGAACAGCACAGCTAGACTAACTCGTTGACGTCATCAAAAGCTGCCGCAGGAACTGGCTAGTTGCGAAAAACGAGAAAGGGCAGGCACATCTAAGCAGGCGTATCATGAGTTTTGCCTAAAAAAGTTAGGAAGACCCACGCAAACCAAGGAACCGTGGAGGAAGCAATAAAAATGTAAAAGAGAGGCAAAAAGTCAGCAACTTGGCTGCAAGTCAGAAGGCAAATAATAGGCCTAAACGACAAACAGTCCGTGATCATAAAGCCAGCAGAAGGTAATAGCTACGCCGAATCCTCAAGAATGTCCGTAGCAAGATGGATCTTAAAGAAGCAGAAATTAGGATAAAGGGATCCGCAAAACAAGAGCCGAGGTCCTATTATTAGAGCTGGAGAAGGAACAGTTTACAAAGGCTAGCTTCTTTGAGGAACTTAAGACCTTTCTTAAAGAAACTGCAACTGTGGCCGACCTTAAAACTATGGCTACTAAAGAGATCAGAGACCTCGACTCAATCACAACAAAAGAGAAAGTAGTAGGGGCCGCCAAAGAAGCGCTATAGCACCCCACTGAAGACTTGGCGATTAACATAATAGCTCCTAACACAAGGCAGCGGGTTAGGGCATATATAACGCTGGACCAAGATAGAGCAGATACACTGATGCGACATTCATGCATTAAAATTGGCTGTGTTAACTGTAGGTTGCGGCTGAAAGAAACCTCCAAAATGGGCTTCCGTTGCTTTGGACGAGGGAACCTGGAACTGCAAAGAGCCCGATAGAAGAGAAGAAAGTGCTTGCATAAAATGCGGCCAACTCGGTCACAAATCGAAAGAGTGCACAAAGCCTTTGCTGCCTTTGCAAAGAGGCTAATCATGAAAAAATCGATCAAATTATGGGCTCCGCAAAATGCACAATATACAGGAACTACCGAAGCAAATGAATATCCTATAAGCCAACATTCATAAGTGCAAGGCTGCTGGCGCACTACTCTTACAAATGGCGATGGAGAGCGACTACGAGCTAATCATTATAAGCGAGCAATACAAAAAAAAATTAGAGGTACCTAACTCTCTAGAAGATAGCAACTCAACCGCCGCTATATAGTTACCACCAGGAAGTAACGCCATCACTGTAAACAATGGGAATGGCAACGGTTTTGTTTAGGCCAAATTTGACCTTTTAAGAATTAATCTAGCAACTCCCCCATAATTGCAAGGAAAACTGTCAAACACACAATGCTTAATATAATAAGAGCCTGTCAAAAATGAATGCCCAAGGCTTCCCACAGCAAACATAAAGCAGCAGTGTTTACTGGTGGACTGAAAAAAACTCAGACGCACATACCTCCCCCTTCGCAGATCCTACACGAGATCCAGCCGCAGAGGAGCCGCATCCCAACAGCCGAATAATACAAAGCAGCAAAAAAGGAGCTGAAGCACGCCATCGACGACAGCAAAAAGAAAAAATGGGAGGAACTGCGCGAGGATATAAACAGAAACCCCTGGGGACTCGGATATAAAAAAGTGATGAACCGCTGCCAAAATGGATCACATGGTGAACGTACTATTCCCCAAACTCTGAAAAATGCAACGGCTGGGACTAATCAGTAAGGGGAAAGAAGATCGAAATTCGCCTTCAGCATACCGTCCACTATGTATGCTTAAAACAGCGGAAAAGCTATACGAAAGCCTACTTAAACCCAGACTCGAAGCGGCTATTAACGAAGCTGGAGGACTGTCCTCATGAAAGCTATAAAATGCGTCATTGAAAGCGTAGAAGCCGCACAGTGTAGATGGCATATATACAAAAGAATAGTATTGCTGGTGAACCCAGATGTTCGAACACCTTTAAGATACCCGACTACCTGATGGCTATGGTGCGGAGCTACCTTAGCAACAGGAAATTGCTGTACGAAACTAAAGAAGGATCACGACAGATAGCTGCCAAGAAAAGAGAAAGTTCCTAATGTCGACAACAATCAGCGTTTTATTACACGGACCTGAGATATGTGCAGACAAGCTTGAAAAGGACAACAGCCTACCGAACAGTTTCAAGTGATGCAACATTAGTATTAAACGGACATGGAAAATTGACCTTCTAGCATACGAAAGGAAAAAGCTGTGGGAGCTAAAGAAGTCATCCGATAACAACAAGAACGCAATGGTTCAAATAACGAAAGAAACAATAGCAACATGGGTACAGAGATGGTACACTGAAAGTCGCGGTAAATGAACGGCCAGGTTTATAAAAGCTCTAGACTCATGGACAAGCCATAAATTCGGAGTGGTAGATTTTTACACAACCCAGCTGTTATAAGGTCATGGATACTTCAAAAAATACCTCCATAGAATGTGAAAAGTCGAAACTGGGGGAGTATCCAGAAATTTGCAGCACTCTTGCCACGCAGAAAAAAGCGGGACCCGGATGCAGGAGATCTCTCAATGAAAAAAATGGAACGCCACCCTGAAGTAATGCAAATGCGGTCCGAGGGTGGGCGACGGTTCCTTAGAGGGGCTGTGACGATAGCAACGATGATGCGGGAGGCATTTTCCACTCCCTCACCCGCAAAAATAAATGGCTAAGAACAACCTTAGCGTTTGCATTTTACATAGTAGCAAAAACAATAAAGACAACACAGCAGAAAGCTGGGAGGCGAACAAAAATAAATACCGAATGGTGCCCTGCTACAATATATTTTTTACGAGACAGCGAAGCATCCAAGAGCTCGATTATTCTTTGATGCGACTCCAACGCACACCACTCAATATGGGCAGCACAAACATCAA